CAAATACACATAACGTTGTGAACAAATACACATAATCTCAGCAACTTCCTACCGTGCCTCCCAACACTACCCCAAAACGACGTCGTTTTGGAAAGCGCGCGGCGCACAGTGCTATGTGCGCCATGGTGTAGGATATAACGATTGGCTCAATTCCCACCACGAACTAAATAGGCCCATCTACCAACTAAATTTGTTCAATTAACTTTTTTTACAGGTTACCAACAGGTTACCTATTTATTAATTATTAAAAAATAAATAATTAATTAATTAATTAAAAAAAAACTAAAAAATTAAATTAAAAAAAAAAATAGCCACCGGCTGTCCTCGCCGGACAGCCACGGCTGTCCTCGCCGGACAGCCACGGCTGTCTATGAATGGGCAGCCACCGACTGTCCTCGCCGGACAGCCGGTGGCTATTATTTTTAAAAAAAAAAAAAACTTTTTTTAATTATTTTATTTTATTTATTTATTTTTTAATAATTAATAAATAGGTAACCTGTAAAAAAAGTTAATTGAACAAATTTAGCTGGTAAATGAGTCTTGGTAATTGAGCACTTCGCAGTAATAGATGGGCCTATTTGACACTTGTGCCTATTTTTTATTTTTTTTCTAGAAATCACTCCCCATCTCATCTTTTTTCCACAATATAACCCATCACATGTCACCGTTATGATTTTTTTTTTTTTTTTTTCTAGAAACCACTCCCCATCTCATCTTTTTTCCACAATATAACCTATCACATGTCACCGTTATGAATTTTTATTTTTTATTTTTTCTAGAAACCACTCCCTATCTCATCTTTTTTCCACAATATAACCCATCACATGTCACCGTTATGATTTTTTTTTTTTTTTTTTTTTTCTAGAAACCACTCCCCATTTCATCTTTTTTTCATGATATAACCCATCACATGTCACCTTTATGAATTTTTTTTTTCTAAACAAAGCACACTAATCTTATAAATCACACAGAGCATCATCTTAAGAGTCGAATCAGAGTCATTGAAAACAAACTAAGAAAAAACAAGTGTCGCATGCCAACAAGTACAACTGAAGTAAAGATAGTTCATAGCCTAGCTCCAGACATGACATTTAACAATAAAACATCACTTTTTTCACATTGTCCTTGAGAGCAGCATTAGCTAGCTGACCCCGTGCCCGGGTGTTCCTCCCAGCAGCAGCACCACTTGTCATTGAACCACGGGCGGCAGCAGCAGCAGCACCACGGGTGACCCCATCCCTATAGAAAATGATTCTCTGTGGCTTCTGTCCAGTTGCTCGCTCTATCTGCGGAAGGATATAAGCAATTCTTTGATCATATATGCCACCAGTAACATTATATATTCCCCCTCCTCAATGAGCTCTTGCCACCTGATGAGCAAGCCTTTCACTAATTTTAATTCCAAATTCTTGTGCATATGCATTATGTTCCACAGTCCAAAGAATGTTACTTTGAGGATCGGAGTGCAGTGATCTGCGGCTGCCTCTCATTTAATTAACCTCTTAGAGTATCTTTGCCCTTCAACAATCTTGCACACCTCCATTTTGGCCTCTGCTCATTCCCAACTTAGCTTGTAGACATGGCCATTGAGTAATGAGTATATATGCTGAATGACAAAACCATACAAGTATTCAACAACAGATTTAGTTTACCCATCTCATCAATAGGAAAGGTGAGCTCTCTTGTTGCTTGTGAAGTCAGACCAGAGATTCGATACTTCCATCATATGCTGAAATTGAAGCCTCTTTCCCAGATGAGATTCTCTGTACATTCTGTTGGCCACCATGTCTTTCCTCCTGTTGATGCTGCTGTGGTGGGTGTTGAGCACCAACTCGCCCTGCTCCAGTCTCCACAGATCAGACGACTCACCACCACCAGGATGCTCACCATGGTACCGAAAACTCATAATGACAAAACCTAAGCCGATGAAGCAAGCTCGAACGAATCATGTAACCAACTCAGAAAGTATAGATTTCAGTATGTAAAAAAAAAAAAAAAAACAAAAAAAAAAAACAAAAAACACGCACACACACACAATGTCTATTTGTTGGTAATAGCTTAGTGCTTTTTAATTTTTATATTGCTATCAAAATGATAATCCTATGAGGTTTTATAGTATTTTTTGGTAATGGAAATAGCTATAAAGGGGCGCTCGGTTAAGGTTATATAAGATAATCAAGTTCTATTTGTTTGGTAATATAAAATTTTCATGTTTGGTTCAGGTTATATAACTTTCACAAGGAATGTTAGATAACCTCCGCATTAAATTTTTAGCTATTGGAAGGGAATGTGAAATACCTCCAATTTTTTAGGTAATCTCACATTCTCTTGTCTTATTATTATTATTATTATTATTATTATTTTCTACGAACTTTGAACTTTATTTCATCACCAAAAGAGGCCTAAAGACCTTACAAGAGACGCTATAGGTCCAAAAGTGACCTATGGCTCAAAACAACTAGAGGCATAAAGCCTTACAAACACAAGGACCACAATGGTCTAAGCAACAAAAGACCAAAAGGTCTAAGACACACAAGACTAAAATTCTAGCCTCTAACTACAAAAGGCCCAAGGGGCTACAAACATTTGGTCCATAAGGCCTTATTGCCTAACTAGGCCCATTCGGCCTATATTACCAATCCAAGGCCATTTCGGCCTAACCACCATAAGGTCCACCCCACATGGTGGACCTTCCTTATTCCTCCATAGATCACCCATATCCCATATCAAGCATCCATTCGGCCTACACCAATAATTCCAAGCCATTCGGCCTTTCTAGGTCCAAGTAACCCCATGGCCACATGATCTCATATCTCTTTGGCCCATTCCCCTTTCAAAATTCGGCCATCATAGAATCCAGGCCCAATAAACGTGGCCCATCATCAAAACAACCGGCCCATAGCCAATTAATTACACAGCCCAGCCACACAAGTCCTCCAAATCGGTCCAAAGTCCACCTAGAACAGTGAACCTCCTTATACCCCCATAACCCCATCTGGTCACCATCTATAGCTCATTCATGGAATCATCACTACTGCTTCTATAGACCATCATCATCTCATGGATTAACCTGTACAACTATCACCACCAACCCAGCTTCTTTTATTCATATTTCATTGTGCATTCCAGAAAATCCAGTAATCCCCAAGATGGATCCGTGGTCCTCAGATTCCCATTTTCCATCATTAGCCACCTTTACCAGCCCCATTTAATACTGCAAACTAAGCTACATCTCTGCAACCCATCTCTGCTGCAGGTTCCAGATAAAACCTGCAGCTTCCAGCTTGCCACATGTGGTATCCCTTCTCATAGCATGGCAACACCATTCCTCCACCCCATATGCTTCAGAATGCTGCTGCAAGCAAAGTAGAACCTTCAACATGTGCATCTCTCTTCTTAGAACCTGCATGTATTTAGCATAACTTTTGACACAACTTTCCTTTTGCTTTCATCTTCTTATGAATCAGAGATCTTTTCTGCAAATTTTCTGCTCTATCTGCCACTCTCTTAGCTCATGAGATATCATTCTCATAGCAATCCCCTTTAACAGTTTTGACTTGATTTTCTGCCTCCATACTTGATTTTCTGCCTCACCAAAACTTTTGCACAAAACTACGGGCTTCATTTCTCATGGTGAGATCAGCCACTTAGGAACCCAACCCTCCACCAAAGCTTCAGGTTGATGCTCCTTGTGCCTTCATCATATTAGATTCTGCAGATCAGCTCATCTTCAGTTTCCAGAATCATCAGGGCTCATACCATCCAGAGCAACCCATGACATCAAAATATCCTTATATTCTAGCCAAGGCAGCTTCTCAGAGGTCCACCAAGCATGGTGGACCATCCTTATACCTCCTTTTGCACTAACCAGCCACTCAGATTCATCAGAGCAACAGTCACTCAGCTTCCAGAAACATTTCAGATCCCTCAAGCTATCCTAAGCCTAGACAGCCATACTAAGTTTCTATTCTCTTACAGACTCAGCTTTTATTCTCAAACATGGTGCATCATTTCCCATGGTGGGATCAGCACCATGGCTGCCCCAACACTCCACCCTAAAGGCTTTGCATTGAGGCTGCAATTCATCTCAGGTATGCACTCCAATTTAATAACTCTTCAGAGCAACTCATTGCAAGCTCTATGCTTTCCTCCAAGGAACCACCAAGGCAGTGGTCCTCCTTATTTATCCATAATTCCCAGAGGTTCACCACACTAGGTGAACCCTCCTTGTCCCTCCACAACCTGCAAGCCAAGTAAAGATTACAAGCTAGGGTCTCAGCCATGATACCTGTAAATTTCCAGCAGCATCAGACAGAGGGTGCTCAAGACTGCATACTGAGGTTAAGCTTCCAAACTCCCATGAGGCTCATCAACTGCATTGCAATCAACTGGTTCCTCTCTGCTTATTAGAACCTGAGACCTCCTTTCCCATTTTAGGATCAGTCCCAGGTGGTTGCCAGTTCTCCACCACAGAGATTTCAAACTGCAACACTTCTGTTGAAACACGAAAGTTGTGTCTGTAGAAATATAGCTGTTGAAGTTGTGTAGGGTTGTGTCTATTAGGATTGTGTCTCTTAGTCTGTATATATTTATCTATTGTCTCCTCATTGAGACAAGCAAGTAATAAAAACTTCTTCTACATCTTCTTTCTCAACATGGTATCAAGAGCCAAAAGTCAAAATTTGAAAATTTTTTTCCGGTGAACAGTACATGTTACTGTTCATTCGAAATTAATTTTTCAAATTACTTGCTATTGGTGAGATATTTTATCAAATTAGTACTACAGCCGCCTTACCCATCCTCCGGCGACCATTACCCATTAATTCCGGTCGCCGGAATCTCCTCCACGCGCCTCCACGCGCCACCGCGTCGCCGGCGCTCCGACACCACGCGCCGGCGCGTGAGGGCATCTCCGGCGGCCTTTTCCGGCGATATTTTCCAGATCGTATCATCGGCTCTCCTCCTTTCCTTCCGTGCAATCAGATTTATTTTTGGTCACGATGTCTTCCGACGGAAATTCTGATAATTCGGGTACTATTTCTCCTGCCAATAATTTATCTACTTCTTCGAGCTCTGTTTATGTGCCTAATCTGTCTGGAAACCCGGTAATCACTTCTGAAAGATTATGTGGTTCTCAAAATTACCACTCTTGGTCGGATGCCGTAGAATTATGGTTTATGGGCCAAGGTGTTGTTGACCACTTGCAAAAAGAAGTGGATATGATACCGGAAAAAGAAAAGACAGTTTGGCAAAGGTTAGATGCTCAACTTTGTAGTCTCCTTTGACAGTCTCTTTCTCCACAATTGTTGCCTTTATTCCGGCCCTTTAAGACATGTGTCGGGGTGTGGAGTCAAGCTCAATCTCTGTACACTAATGATGTCTCTCAATTCTATAATGTTGTTGACAATTTGGTTAACTTGAAGAAAGATGGTATTGATATGGAAACTTTTCTTAGCAAAGCCCAAAGTTTGATTGCTGAGTTTGGTACACTCATGCCTATTGGTGGTACACCCACAGAGCAACTTACCCAACGAGAGAAATTCTTTGTCATACTTCTCTTAACCAAATTAGGTCCAGAATTTGAAAGCATCCGGAATCAAGTTCTTGGAAGCAACATTGTCCCGGGGACCACTGAGTTGTTCAAACGGCTCTTGCAGGTCACCTCCATTCCGGGTACTCACACATCCACTACCGAACAATCTGCTCTAGTCACACAAGGAGGTCGCAGACGAACTAACAATCGTGGTGGACAGAAAAACACTAGAGTGTGTGATTATTGTAATAGAACTGGGCACACACGAGATCAGTGTTGGAAACTTCATGGGAGACCGGTACGTACGCAAGCAAGTGACCGGTACGTACGCAAGCAAGTGTTGCTCAATCTCAACCTGGGGAACCAAATTCTCGAACCATTTCCGCTGCTGAGTATGAAGAGTTTGTTCGATTTAAAGCCACTCCCAAAGCTTCTGGTTTAACTCCTGCAGCCTACACTGATGGAACTCATACTGCCCTTGTATCACAATCTGGCCTGAGCGGACCATGGGTTATCGATTCAGGTGCCTCTGAGCATATCTTTGGTAACTCATCTTTATTTTCTCATTTCACCAAGTCTAAGTCCCTTCCATCTATTGTTTTCGGTAATGGGTCCAAGAGTACGGCTACTGCAATTGGAAAGGCTTCCCCCCTTCCTACTTTGCCTCTCTCTTCAATTCTTTATATACCTAATTGTCCTTTCAATTTAATTTCTGTTCATCAACTTACAAAATCTTTGGACTGTACGGTCACTTTTTCTTCTGATTCTGTCATTATGCAGGACCGTCGTTCGGGGAAGATGATTGGCTTGGGGTATGAATCGGAAGGACTTTATCGATTATCTACCCCAAACCCTTCTACAGTTTGCACTGCTACCATTCCTCCTTCCATTGCCCATGACCGACTAGGACATCCTAGCCTTAAAAAATTACGGCGACTTGTCCCTAGTTTGTCTCACTTATCTACCCTAGAGTGTGAAGCCTGTCAGCTTGGCAAACATTCTAGAACATCGTTTCCTAATCGTGTTAATAAAAGAGCTGCTTTCCCTTTTTCCTTAGTTCATACTGATGTTTGGGAACCTTTTCGTTATAATTCAATTCTTGGTTTTAAATATTTTGTTACCTTCACTGATGATTTTTCTCGTTGTACATGGGTCTTTTTAATGCAAAACCGTTCTGAAGTACTTAATGTTCTTCAAAAATTTGTTAATGAGATAAAAAATCAGTTTGGGGTGTCTATTAAAACTTTACGAAGTGATAATGCTGGAGAATACTTTACAACTCCTTTATCTAACTTTCTTGATTCAGCGGGCATCCTCCATGAGTCATCTTGTCCCGATACTCCACAACAAAATGGGGTATCTGAACGTAAAAACCGGCATCTCGTTGAAACAGCCCGCACCATGATTCTCCACTATAAAGTCCCTCCAGAATTCTGGGCAGATGCTATCCTTCATTCCTGTTATTTAATAAATCGTATGCCTTCATCTGTTTTACATGGTAAGATACCTTATAATATTTTATTTCCCGATAAGCATCTTCATACTTTTCCTTTAAAAATTTTTGGGTGCACCTGTTTTGTCCGGGACACTACCCCAGGGCGTGATAAATTTTCTCCAAAATCCTTAAAATGCATTTTTGTTGGGTACTCTAGGTTGCAAAAGGGTTCAGATGTTATTCTCCTGATAAGCATCGATTTTATGTATCTTCTGATGTTACTTTCTTTGAATCAACACCTTTCTTTTCGTCTAGTTTACCGACCTCCATCTCTCATTTTCCTGATGTTCTTCCTGTTCCTACTTTTCAAGGAGGGACCGAGGTACATTTACCTCAAGATCCGTCATCACCTAGAAATCCTAGTCCCTCACCTACTGAACCTCCTTTACAAAACAACGGTGTTACCCCCTTTCCTTACACTTATCATCGCCGCTCTCGACCACCCGCGACAGTTCAAATCGATGAAATCCCAACTGATTCATCTCTCGAGCTATCTATGACCTCGAACCCGATTCCGGCAACAAGCTCTCCTATTGCAAGTCGTGTAGGTAACAGGTCATCACGAAATCCCTTTCCCATATACAACTTTATTTCATATGATCGTCTCTCACCTTCATATAATGCTTTTATCACATGTTTATCTTCTGTTTCTGCCCCTAAATCTGTTAAAGAAGCCCTTTCCCACCCTGGTTGGCGTCAGGCTATGATTGATGAAATGGCTGCTCTTCATTCATCGGGAACTTGGGAGTTAGTTTCATTACCCGAAGGTAAAACAACTGTTGGTTGCCGATGGATCTATACTGTGAAAGTTGGGCCCACTGGACAGGTTGATAGACTTAAAGCTCGACTGGTAGCTAAAGGATATACACAGGTTTTTGGGATTGATTACACTGACACCTTTTCACCAGTAGCTAAAATTGCTTTGGTCAGAATCTTTCTTTCTATGGCTGCCGTTCATCATTGGCCCTTGCATCAGTTAGATATTAAAAATGCCTTTCTGCATGGAGATTTAGAGGAAGAAGTCTACATGGAGCAACCTCATGGGTTTGTTGCTCAGGGGGAGAGTAACTTGGTTTGTAAGCTCAAACGTTCTCTCTATGGTCTAAAACAATCTCCTCGTGCCTGGTTTGGACGGTTCAGCATAGTAGTGCAAAATTTTGGTTTAAATCGAAGCAAAGTTGACTATTACGTCTTTTATAGACATCAACATGGTAAGAGCATTTACCTTGTTGTATATGTTGATGATATTGTCATTACAGGAGATGATGTTGAAGGAATACAATTGTTGAAACAACATCTATTCCAACATTTTGAAACAAAAGATCTGGGGAAGTTAAAATACTTTTTGGGAATTGAAGTAGCACAATCCAAGCAAGGAATTTGCATATCACAAAGAAAGTATGCATTGGATATACTAGAAGACACAGGTATGATGAATTGCAAACCTCTTGACACTCCTATGGATCCAAATATCAAACTCCTACCAGACCAGGGGGAGCTTATCCAAGATCCGGGAAAATATAGACGATTGGTTGGAAGATTACTTTATTTAACTGTAACTCGACCTGATATCTCTTTTGCGGTAAGTGTTGTTAGTCAGTTCTTGGCATCTCCACGTGAAAGTCATTGGGAAGCTGCCATTCGGATTTTACGATATATTAAAAAATCTCCAGGCACTGGTTTGTTATACAAAGACCATGGAAACCTTGAAATTATTGGGTACACAGATGCAGATTGGGCAGGTGCATGGGATAGAAAATCAACATCTGGATATTGTATCTTTCTTGGTGGCAACTTAATCTCTTGGAAAAGTAAAAAGCAAAATGTTGTTGCTCGATCAAGTGCAGAAGCCGAATATCGATCTATGACCGTGGGAACATGTGAACTTGTGTGGTTGAAAAACCTCCTTACCGAACTGCAGATTTGTACAAAGGAGTCCATGAAGCTCATTTGTGATAACCAAGCAGCTTTGCATATTGCATCAAATCCAGTTTTTCATGAAAGGACGAAACACATTGAAATTGATTGCCATTTTGTTCGAGACAAAGTTACTTCTGGAGATATTACTACATCTTTTATAGGCTCAAATAATCAATTAGCTGATATATTTACTAAAGCTTTAAGAAGTCATAGGATTGAATACATTTGTAACAAGCTTGGTGCATATGATATACATGCTCCAGCTTGAGGGGGAGTGTTGAAACACGAAAGTTGTGTCTGTAGAAATATAGCTGTTGAAGTTGTGTAGGGTTGTGTCTATTAGGATTGTGTCTCTTAGTCTGTATATATTTATCTATTGTCTCCTCATTGAGACAAGCAAGTAATAAAAACTTCTTCTACATCTTCTTTCTCAACAACTTCTACTCAAGCTGCCTTTTCCCAGATTCCCTTCTTTATCCCAGATCCAAAACTCCAAAACCTGGTTTTCAGATTTCCCAGAACTCAGCTTTTATTCTGCAATTCTGCAAATTCTTTTTCAGAGAACTGAGTCCACCACTCATGGTGGACCCCCTTATGCCTCCCCCTTTATGTAGATTTCTCTGCCAACCTTCACCTTTTTGCCTCTGCTTCCATTAGAGCAACATAAGATATCCTTTCTCAATGAGAGATAAATCTCATGGCATCCACCCCTCTCCACTCCAAGAGCTTCAAGAGGCAGCTGCAGAAGATCACCTGCAAATAAAACTCTGCCAAGAGACTCAGACTTCCATTGCAGGCAACTCCATACCCTCCTTATTCCTCCACAGCTTACTCATCATCAGCTTAAAAACCTTCCAGCTCAGACCCTTCTGAATCCAACCAACTTGTTATATCAAAGGACTCATCTCCCAGTGTAGGATCCTCCTTTGGCAGCCCTCCCCTCCACTTTAAATGCTTCAGGGAGCTGCTGACAACTCAGGCTTCATCAGATCCTTCCTCACTCCCCTCCTCATCTGCATACATATCCTCATCAAAGTATTGACCAGCCCATTTACATAGCACAAAACCAGTAGTGAGGTTTGTTCTCAATCCCTTCCCAACCAAGGAATCAGACCCATACCTTTCTCTGCTTAAGCTATCATTGATAATTTCCTTCATAATTTCCATTGCCTCTCTTTCATCCTCTCCATCAAAAGCTGATATATCCTGCCCATGTTTATCCTTCAAATAAACTTGCACCCTAATCACAGTGTCATATATAATTATAGCAAAGTCATCATCATTATCCCTGCTATACTTGACACCCTTGCACCAAGCATCTATGTCCACCCTTTCCACCTTCTCTTTTTTCTTATCCACAGCCTTCTTACTGCCACTAGCACATACCATTTCAATAACTTGTGTCATTTCTTGCCCAGATAAGGCTTTCCCAGCCTTAGCAGTGCCTTGTACTTCCCTTATTGCATCAGAATAAGATAAGGTAGGCCCCCCTTTTTCAACAGTCTCACCAGAGCCCTTCCTTTTCAGGCTTTGCCCTGTTTATTTGACTAGAATCCCTGGATGCTTTCTGAGCTTTGGCAACCTCCACCAGCCCCTTAACTGCTGATTTGATATTCTCAAACTCCAGCTCCAACCCTGACCTTTTTTCAGACCCCATCTCAGAAACCTGTACAGCCACAGCATGCCTTTTCCACCAGCTCATCAGATTTCTCCATAAATCTTTCCTCACCCAGCTCCAGTTGTGCATGATTGAAAAACTGCAAGACTTCCAATCTAGCTTCTTCTATTGCCTCTCCATCCTCCTCACTTATAAACTCTTTCACTTTTTCAATCCAGACTTCCAATTCCATAACAGACTCAGAGAAACTGGAGGAAATTTGAGGGCTTCCAGACTCTCCACTGCCTTCCAACATCTCTAGAACCTGTTCTTTCTTACTTGCAGCATTCCTTGCTTTCCTCTGTTTCTTTTTCTCTCTTTTTATTTGGTTTCTTGACAGGGCTTTACCCTTAGCAGAGCCTTCTTTAGCTTTCTGTTCCAAGCCAGGCACCTCCTGCCCCATATGCTCCCCATCCTTCACTGATTTTCCAGCAATGGTGCCTTCCTCCTCATGACTTTCCTTTGTTAGATCAATGTCTGCAATTACAGGGCTCTCATTCATCACTTTCTCAGCTATTTCTTCTAATAGCCCTTTTGTAGCCTCTCCAATAATTTCCTGAGCTTCTTCAACTAGATTAGCTTCCAATTCAGGCCTTGCAACATTCCTTACCTCTGATTCATTCATATCATGAGTCTGTTTGACAAATTGTCGAACAGGTTCTGTGCAGATAGAGGCCCTTTAAGCCACTGGAACCCTCCACTAGTTCAGTCCGAGCCTTGGGGGGATTTTTACAAACAGGTGGTGCACATTCTTTTGGGCCTTCTGCAACATTCTCTCGGTGGATTCCCCCACCACCCCGACACTTCTCCAATCTATGGCCATATCTATTACACGCTATACAAAACTCCAGCACCTTACCTGGCTTTACAGCCTGCCAGAATCCATTCACCTTTCCTTCATCCACATATTCAATTCGAATTCTCTCCATCACAGGCTGTCTAACATCAATTTCAACACATATTTTGGCTACACTTTTATTTTTATTTTATTTTTCCATATAAGCAAATTAGATGGTTACTTGTTAGAAACTTGCTAAAAATACTAGATGAAATATAATTAAGATTATAATGGTCTAGATGAACCATATTTTAATTCATGATGCTAGATGAACAATCAATGTTAATACAAGGACTTATTTGATCCTTTTGCTCTAATAATATAATAATACCTATAATTATATAATTAATAATAATGAATTGAACTTAGATTTTTTTTTTTTTTTAAATCAGAACTTAGATTATTGATTTATTACAACAAGATCTAAGTTAATCAATTAAATGTAAAGTAATTGCGATGAACGTGAAAATGACAGCCTCAAACTAAAATTGAAATCACTAGTTAGTTTATAGTGTTTAATTGACATAGTTTAGAACTTTAGTTGCCAATCACATGCTATAGTCTCAATCCCTAGCGGAACGACAATTTTACAATTGTAAAATTGAATAGATGTGCATTCATAAATAAATATTTAGAAATCTGCTTAAATACATACACATACTTATGCACCATATTCACTGCTGGAATTCTGCATTTTTTCGACCACCGAAAAGTGGTCGAAAAAGGGAGATCTCCGGTCAAAAATACAGTTTCCGACCACTTTATGGATTCGGAAAAAAAACCCACGCTATTACCAACAACTGGTTAAAGTGGACGGAAATATCGGTTTCTTTTTTAGGAGGTCGGAACTATTAGTTGTCGAATAAAGAGAGCATATTTCCTACCATTGGTGGTCGGTAATTGGTCGGAATTATCATCCACCGGTGGTCAGTAAGATTTACTAATAAAAAAAATAAAATTTAAAATTCTACAAATACCAATGAAAGATAATTTGGCTCAATTAAAATTTGATTACATGATCGATTAAAATACTAATCTCTTTGAGCTCAATTGGGTAATAAGGATAGATAACCTTATCGTCAATGTATGCCTCTCCATGGAGCCGAGCTTCATCTATGAAAGGCAATTTGGCAATGCCCTTACATCAAGAAATATTTTAATTCAGTTGCATGATAAACGTCACAGAAGATATCATTTCTCAGAAAGCAAAATTATAAATGTTTTAATCAATTCCTGCCAAGAAAACCTCTTGCCATTAATGTCCACTTCAAAATCTACAAGCATAACAACCATATAAACACAATTCCATTACGTTTAAAAATAAATACATTAAGCGATAAAAAATACTAGTGGAATAAAAATCAATAGTAGGCAAGTTTGGGTCTGTCATCAATCTCCTATAATGCTCGGGAAGCGCATGTGAACTCAGTTAGAACCCCAAAAAACACCATAGCATGAAAAGAAATAAAAAAGAAAGATACTGGTACAAACCTTGCTGCAGGGAACACAAAAAAAAGAAAAAAAAAAAAAAAGGAAAGAAAAATACAGAATATGAGATCAAAAACAATTAATAAGACAAAATCTCTAATACAAATTGAATACCTTGCTGCCATCCGTCAAATACCCTCTCCCATCAACCTAAACTCCTTGTAAACAGCCATGAGCAAGTTCTACAACATAGTGCAAGTGAATAAGTACATTAAGATGGTAGAAGTATTAGTTTCAAGTGCTTGTTAACATCTGAAACTCATTGAACTATGTGCTACTTATGAGAAGCATATGAATATATATAGTGCCAAAAAAGTTGGTCTGAGCAACACATCAACTTAGGCTCCATTTGGGAGAGCAATGCGATTCAGATAAATGCCAATTCAGATAAACCAAGCTGAAACATGGGTGTCAAATATAAATTTGAAATTTTAAACCACTCACGAACACAAATTCAAAGTAGCCAAGCAGAGAAATACAAATGTCGTACATAATGGAACTGGATTTGTAATCAAACCCAAAACTTAACCTGATAAGGCTTTTTTGCCACCACTTCAGTATCACCTTTTTCATCAAACTCCCCAGCCTTTCTCTTCGCCTTCCCTTCGCAATCTGTTGCTAAGTGGCCCATTTGACCACATCCCTGAAAACCGCAAAGTCAAGTTGTTGGATAAAGCAAGGATATTTCCTGGTTTAAATACATGCCAGGAAATAACAAAGCAATATCATTATAAGTATCAAGAAGGTGAGTATAAATAGGTCATCAGATTTTATAAACTGGGTTGATACCCAATAAGTGGAGCTATGCCTTCCTCTTGACCAATAAAACTTACAGGACAAAGAAGAAAGTAGTCCAGAAAATATACCTTATCCAGATAGAGACCAATAGCACCATAGAGTACTGTGTCAAATAGAGACCACGCTCATATTCAGCAAAGTTGATAGAGCCCAATGCAAAGGCTGTGGGTGAAAGAAATGAAGCCATCACTTTTAATACCCTACAAATACAAAATGCAGTTATATTATTCCCAGAAGAAAAATTATTGGAAAAGTGTCTTAATAGCAAAAGGACTGACATGGAAATTGTCTCATCATTGACTGTATAATAAGGGAAAAATGCCCCAAAGAAAGAAAGCGTCCCAACAGCTATGGCAGTTTTTGCTCGTGTGAAAAATGTAGAGATCAGAAAGGACATTGTGATGGCACTGAGTCCAAAAGCAAAGAAGTAGACAAACACCAGTGACTTGTCACTGTACTGGAAAAGGGTAGTCATAGTGCAGAGAGTAATGATCACAGAAGAAACTGCAAACTGCCAAGGAAATAAAAGCACTAAAATAAGATAAACTAGTAATTCATTCTCACAAAACAATATATAGAAGAAATTGCAACTAAAAGGATGTATCAGGACAACATCCACAGTTGCAAAGATGATAACCCTAAAAGTAAGATACTTAAATTAGATAGAAAGGGGAGAACTCAAATGAGAATTTTTATTAGGAATGCTACACAAGCACAAAATATGTTCCAAACTTCTTTAGAATGAAGCAAACACAACGGAATCACACCTAACAACGGAATCGCTCTTTAATACTTCGCTGATTATATTAAAAATAACTAAATAACAATAGATTAGAAATAAGAACCCTAACAATAGATTAAGAAATAAAGAACTCTAACAATAGATTAAGAAATAAAGAACCCTAACCATAGACATGTATGTTGCATATTGGTATTGGTAAACTTAATGGTGTATATGGCTTGTTTCAAGCAAACTAGATCATACTTGGGGTGCCTGTTGAACATTTGGATCAAAAGGGTCACCAACCACCTTTGCTTTCGCCTTTGCGACTACTTTCTTAACAAACTTGTCATAAATTCCTTCACGGACAAACACTCGTGAGGCAGCCGCAAATATTTCACCCTGCCAAAATTCCAAATTAAAACCCCAATATCGATCAGTATATCTACATGCTAAAAGTTGAGGAAAGGAAACTTGGGATGGAGATTACCTTATTATATGTGACTCCAGCTAAACCAAGATCCGAAACCTTGTCAACATTTACATCATCAAAGACTACGAAAGGAGACTTGCCTCCCAACTCTAGTGATATGGGTTTTAGATTGCTAGTTGCTGCAGCCTGCATTATCTTATACCCTACTTCTGTCGACCCTGTAAAACTAACCTGAGAGGAAATCATGAGACAAAAGTTTTAGTTAAGAAAGAAGGCTAGCTATGGTTTTTTCTTTTCCATCTGAATGTTTACATTCCTTAGCTTGACTGTTTAAGACATTTCTCTTTCATTGGGAATGTGTATTAAGGGAGATTACCTTATCAATGCCCATGTGAGAGCTAATGGCGGCACCAATAGTAGATCCAAATCCTGTAATCACATTCAGCACTCCATCAGGGACTTCTGCCTGTTTGTAGATTGAGAAAAACATAGTCTTTAATTATATAAGAAGGGTAAGAAAAAAGAAAAAAAGAAAAAAGGAAATAAGATGAAGCTTACGAGCTTAGCCAAATGAGCATAATAGAGAGCAGAAAGGGTTGTCTGTTCAGCAGGCTTGAGTGTTTGACGATCACAGTACAACCAGCTGCTAATGCGGTGGCAACCTTAAACCCAAATATTTGTGCCGGATAATTCCAGGGAATTATGAGTCCTGCCACACCTATTGGTTCACACAATGTATATGCTTGGAGCTCACTCGACATCTTGAGAGTGGTGCCATGGGATTTTGTCTGCTGCACCAGCGTAGTAACGAAAATACCCTGATGTTGAAGGCACATCTGCATACTAAGATGTGCACTAAAGTGGGCAAATGATGCTTCCATTTTCTGGACAGTCTCACAAATACTACGGTATTGCTCTTCCATATCCTTGTGTTACTGTTGCATTACTTCCCTTTCCTCACGCCACCAGTGGCCTCCAACCACACTGCTATTTCAGCCATTTCTAATTGTTTTTGCTTCAAGTGAGACACAGTTTCCTGAAAAAAAAAACCATAATGAGACGAAAAAAATTGGTGTATAACCATTATAAACTGTAAAGTGGAAAAACTTCTACTTCTACTTTTGTAGGTGTTGCAGATCAGAATATTCAAGCAAACAACATACGGTTCATCCATTCTTAATTTACAACTATTAAACCAACAATATAAATACCTTAGCATCTGTTAATGATTGAAAAATCAAAATACCCCAACATCTGTCTATACTTGGGGATGAGAAAACTTCATAACCTTACCATGTTTTCTCATGTTTCAAAAGATTAATAGTTTAGTCAAAGAAAGGAACCCCAAAAGTAATTTACAAAGTATAAGGATAAATTCAGATATTTTTTAAAAAATTGTTTAGAAGCAGATTGTACGTACCTCTACTTTGTCCCATGCTCCTTTTCTGACATCAGTTTTCAAATTTGAAACAATAGCAGAGCTAACTAACTGTCGATGCATGCCCATTTGAGTAATCTACAAATTCAAAAGTTGAGAACACCTATTTTGTTAAACTAATTAGAGATCGAAGAGATTGAATAAAAGAATAACCAACCTTTCATGAACTGCCTTGCTTCTTCTTAAAACGCTGGAAAAAAACATACCTGATTCTTGCTCATCGCCAAACAAATTAAAATGACTAGACATTGCTACTTGTCACTCGTCGACCAAACGCTGCTACTCGGCACTCGCTGTGAGCATATAGCCATTAACGTGCAATCCAACTATCAGCTTAGGCTTTTAGTTGAGATGGAGCACATGCTTCAATTTGGTATCAAAGCCAGACCAAAGGTCATGGGTTCGAATCTCAACGCCACTCGTAAGCGACTACGGTTTACCGGTCCATGTGTTGGTTGGAATCCACCGTACACGTGAGGGGGCGTGTGAGCATATAGCCATTAACGTGCAATCCAACTAAAAGCCTACTATCAGCTTAGGCTTTTAGTTGAGATGGAGCACATGCTTCAATTCTCGCAACCGCAACCGGAGCTCGTTGACCAGATGTCAAATTAGAAAAGCTTGCCTTTCATTGGTACTTCAACAGACATTCTAGAATTCCCCGGAGCTCGTTGACCAGATGTCAAATTAGAAAAGCTTGCCTTTCATTGGTACTTCAACAGACATTCTAGAATTCCATGGTGGCCCGAGAAAGAAACCAGATGTCAAATTAGAAAAGCTTGCCTTTCATTGGTACTTCAACAGACATTCTAGAATTCCATGGTGGCCCGAGAAAGAAAGCCTTACAAATGTCAAATTAGAAAAGCTTGCCTTTCATTGGTACTTCAACAGACATTCTAGAATTCCATGGTGGCCCGAGAAAGAAAGCCTTACAAGAGACTAGAATCAAAGCAAACCACTATAAAAAAAAAAAAATCAACAATATAAAAAGGAATACAACAATAAAACACTACAAAGACAGCAACCATCTAACAAGATAATGACAAGTGAATCTCTTCACCATCATTATAATGAAAACATCATTTAAGACTTATTTAGTCTAAAATGAATAACATTTAATTCTCAACTATCTGTATGGACTATGGAGGGCAAGTTGATATAGCAAGAAGCTTGATTAAGGATTAAGTGATTAACTAGGTTAGACTTTAAGCTTTTATTAAAGCAATTGTGAACCACAATCAACATCAAACAAATGCAAAACAATTATGAGCCCTAACAAACTTGTAATCATCTTATTTAATCTAGAACGAAACCTCCAAACCTTAATATGCAATGCAAGTTCCAATACATTACATATCTAAGCATTTAAGTGCATAACCAAAAGTCATTTAACTTCATATATAGTGTGATGATATGGATGTCTCAACTGATCCTATTGAATCTAGTGATGAAGAGCCAGATACTCACTATTCACTAACATTATCTTACGAATTTAGGGCTTAAATTATGATTTAGGGATAATGGAATTAGGAATTTAGGGATTAGGGTTTAAGATTAGAGTAATCGAAATATAGAACTATAGAACTAACCTGTAGCGCAGCAGAAATGGTGATGGCGACGAGTGACTTTGATGGCAAAGACCCAAGTGTGCGCTGCTAAGGAGACGAAGATTTGCTATTGGTGGACGAGGCGGGAAGAAGTAGCTAAAGCGACGGGAGATTTCTGACCAGAGATTTGGAGCGGAACGGCTTCTATGAATACAATAGATTTGTTGTGAGAGACTTGAGTGGAATAAGAAGAAGAGAGCGGTGTCTTCAAAAAAAAGGAGAATAAATTAGCTAGCATATATATATATGTACTGTAAAGGAATTTACGACCACATTCAGTGGTCGGAACAACGAATACTCCGTATCAATTTAAAAAAAAATCAAATGGCGAAAATATTTCAACATTTTTTCATCCAGCCCAACCTTTTGACGAAAAATTAAAATAATACCACCTTTTTCCGACCCTTTTTGTGGGTGGTCGAAAAAGTGGTCAGAATTTAAGCATTTTCTAGCCGTGATTATTAATTATACAAAATTAAAACACTAAATTTTAAATTTCTAAATATAATTATCTTAATTATAAATCTGACAATACAAATTATAATTAAGGGAATTATACTATAAATTTTTTCTAAATACATATTAAAAAATATTATGTGCTCATACAAAGCATTATACAATCATATAAGGAAATACATTTAATTATGATATAAATATATTCATATAAAATTTAAAATTTACATCTTTTGATTCATAATATTTACAATTTTGAACTCTATATTCACAATTTTTGAACTATAACTTGTTAGCAATGCTTAATTGCCTATTGAAGAACTCACAATTCCATGTTAAATTCCAGTAAACTAGTTCCAGTTTATTGGAATTAAATTCCAGTTCTGGAATTCACTGGTGTGTGGCTGTCTTAATTTGCTATCTTTGTCTTAAAATCTTAAATTAGTGTTGTTGCAATTTTACTGCTCTGAAGCTAGTAGCTGTAAGGTTGCTGAATGGTGTTTACTTTTATGCTACTACTATTTGTTTGAGTTTATAGTTATCGATGATAGGAAATGTTACTTGCTTATTGACTGTTGTATTCATATTCATTTTTGTTAGTTTATCTCATTGGTTTTGACATGATCTTGTGAAGTGAATGAAAATAGAAAGTGCAATTGATAAGTTCTATCATTGAGAAGCTTAGTGCTATTAATGATAGACTTTTCCGAAGATGAATCCCAATAGTGGATTTTTGACTTCACAGAGATGGGACAAAAAGACTTAGAACACATAATATCTTTAACAATGGCAAAACTTTGGGGGTTTTAATGTTAAATAATCCTTTACGCGCTATAACTTAAATGCGGAAGTACAATTAACAATGATCGCATGTAAATCAAATCAATCAACTAAACAATGTTCATGATCATGGACTTTTAATTAAATAGGAAAGATAGGACTTACTTGGTTCCATTGAAGATGTAATCTCTAAATTGAATGAATCAAGAATATAATGCTTCACCTCTCTGATCCGTATACCTTATTCACCTCCTGATGATACGGAGACTAGAAAACTTAGAGATTTGAAACCATTATTATCCCTAGAGTTTTCCTAAGTATTTATAGATGTGATGAGAAACCCTCTTTCAAGAGACACTGCTGGAAATTTTCCATTTTCTGACCACATTTCCGACCACCCACAAAGTAAAGATGATCGAAAATTTCTTTCTGCCGTTTAAATTTTAAAAAATTATCTATTTATTATTTCCGACCACATTCAAAAGTTGTCGGAAATGTATTATTATTATAACTTTTTTTTCCTAGCATCTTTTTTAAAAGGAGCGGGTCATTTATTTAAAATATTAGAAACCTTTAAAATATGAAAACGACTCATCATTTTTTCTTTATTTTCAAGAGTTAGATTTTTAGATTTCTCTATACGTTCTGGGAACCAACACCTATCCACCGCTGAAGCCCTAGATCGTCTACGATGTTGAAGTCCTCGATCGCCTTCTCCTCAATCGACTACGCAGCTGCGGACCTTCTCCTCCTTAGCTCTTCTCCTCGATCAACGACGTAGCTGTGATATAAACGTTTTCCTCTCACTTTTAAATTCTTCATTATTAACCATGTTACTCTGAAATGCTATAATGATCAAACACTTAATAATGGATGTGTTTTTGACATCTATGGTGAAATTGAATTTATAGAAGACAAAGAGGGAACTTTTACTCTTTTGATGACTAATTCCTTAATTGGTCATTTACAGGGGTTCCTTATCAGCTGGAATAGGTTGCAAGCGAAGCTAGTAATCAACCAAAGTTGCCTGCCTTCTTTAGTTCAAAAATTCCACACCTGCTATTCTAGAAAAGTGCTCAACTGACCAGGTAATATCTAAAGGTGAGACACCATTGATGGAAGGCAGCGTCAGTGAGAGTGGTAATTCTTCTAGAGTAAGGGGTTCTGGTTGATGAGATTGATAAGGGGGAATTATGGTTGGTTTTGAATTCAGCAATTACTTTGCAGCGAATATGCTAACATTTCTATTTTTGTAAAAAGTTTCAGTTTGACATGGAATTCTTCTTCACAGGAGTTAAGGCTGGAATGTTTGTAAGAGATGCTAAGGTTCTTTGTCCTAAACTTGTCATTCTTTCTTATGACTTTGAAGCTTATGAGGAGGTATTGTGAGATTGGTTGAGTAAAAATGGAAATTCTTCAGTCATGCTTTCTCCTGTGCCTTTACAACTTTCAGTCACGTGGATAGTTTGACACACAATTTTTGATTTACAGCTGGCTGACAAGTTTTATGACATTTTGCATAAGCACTGCAAGAAAGTGCAGGTCTGTCCATGTATATCGTTCTCTTCAGAGCACACATTATATTATACTTATATAACTCTTCAATTGGCTTGTTACTGAAAGCAGGCCTCCAGTTGTGATGAAGCATTTTTAGACGCCACTGACTCAGGGGTGGATGACATTCAAGCATTTGTCAGACTGATCAGGAAGGAAATTGTTGAGATAACAGGATGCACTGCAAGTGCCGGTATTGCTGGAAATATGCTTATGGCCCGTCTTGCTACCCAAACTGCAAAACCTGATGGACAATGTTGTATCCCTCCTGAGTAGGTAAAATGTTTAAATCTTATATATTTGTCTCCTATGAGAATTGGAGAGATAAAAGGAAAGTGAAAACTCGAATGAATATCGATTTGCTGATATATATAGCTGGTTTTTTCCAGGTTGAGGAGTATCATCGCCATCCTCAACTGAGTCGCACCTCAAACTAAAGTTATGGAGTCTCCATCCTCAACTGATTCGCACCTCAACCGAGTCATCAACGGAGTCATTTCAAGCTAAAGTTACGGAGTATTCGCATCCTCAACCAAAAGGTAATTGCATTTTAATGCTATATATTAAGTCTACTAAATTTAGTCTCTGTTTAGGGTTTAAGGCTTAGAAATCTTATTTTAACTACATTTTCCTTTTTTTTTTCCTGCTTTTTTTCTTTGACATTTCTGAGTAAATATAGATGGATTTGTAGGTTTAGATATTAAGAAATATATAATACTCCCTCTGATTTCTGCTCCATTTTGTTGTTTTTCTATTTTTTTGCAATTACATATTAAAGGACTTGATACCGAGCCTAGATTCATAATTTTCATAGCCTAAGGAAGAAGAGAAATTTAAATTTCATATACCTTAAGCTTTTCCATGAAAATTATGTGGAATATGCACACAAGGCTCTGAGGACTATATTTTCTTGTCTCTGAGGACTAAAGAACTTGCTATTTGTGGTGTCATGTAATATTGTTGGACCTATGATGCATCTCAATTATCTTGATAGTCATGATATATGCACTAGACAGTTAGACTCATAATCCACTTCCAAAATTTTGTAATATGTTTTTCCCCCTATATAAGTATTGTTCATCACTTATTTTCTCTATCAACCAACGCATTTTCTCTAACTGTTTTAAAGCTTTTGGTTATGTTATTGACAGTACTGTGTCTTTTCCTAAATACCTTGACATAATTACAGATTGCACCAATTTATCTGACATCACGTATGAAGCTTGGAATCAGCTTGTTGGAAAATCTATTGTACAAACAGCCTGTACAACAGCACCAAGTTCTACTGAAGGTCCAACATTGAGTTCTTTCTTTTCTCACACCTCTTTTGCATAAAGGTTTAGCCCTATCCCCAATAAGAAAAACATAATTTAGAGATAGATGAATTTTGTACTGGAGTGTGCATGTCTTTGAAAGATATATAATTTGAGTTGTCTTCTATTGCAGAGCATGGACATCTATCGTCTGTATGAACTTAACACTGTCTCTTCAAACATTATGAGGGTATGTCATGGTCAAATTGATTAGTGATGTCTGAGTTTGTTGATCAGTTTTTAGATATTTACCTTAAATTTATTACATACTTGCAAATACTAACTAAACTTGTGTATGTACTTTAATAGTTTAATTTCATAATTGAAATGTGTTATCCCACAACACAGATTGATGGAGTCCACCACGGGAAACATGGAAAGAAAGGCTCTGTAGTTTTCTGGTTTCAGGTTCAGCAAGCTCGTGATAAAGTTCGTTTAAACAGAATTGTGAAGCAATTATTTGATTTTGTTGGAAAGTCTATCTCTGATGAAGGTTTCAAGGTAGTTATAGTGTAATTTAATATTTTTGTGCTTATACATCTCCAAGCAAAGTTAACTTTGATAATGAAGAAAATTTGATGTCTTTGTATATAACGCCTATCTATTGCAAGTTCATATCTTTCTTTGACTGCATCTAACTGCCATGTTCTTCAACTTTTCTTGTAGTAATGGGAAGGACTAATTGAATTGCTGGGTTTAGAGTCCAGGACTGCTAGTGGTCTTGAGTTTTTGAACAAGTAATTATTGGTCACTTGTTTTCCATAGTAATACTTGTTCTTATCAATGCTTATTATATTCCATTGCTATGATCTATGTATTTATTGAGCTTCTATTGATGTGCAGGTATAGGAATTTCAGGTGATGTCTTCTGCAGGTTGAAGGTGATACATCTACTGATGCTGCTGGGAAAGCTATTGTTGCCCTTATATCAGTATGTCCAACGTGTTAACTGATGATGCTATTAGATATTCTTTATAAGAAGTGAAGAATAGTGTTTAGATGATGCTTCTCCAGTATTTTTCTGAGGTCTCTGTCTGCATGACCAAAATTTCATTTGTATTTGTGTAATTTGCAGCTGATGAAAAACCCTTCTACACCTCAACAATGCTTGTGTTAAATTTTCAACTGTATATTCATGAATGGATTCTTTTCAAGTGTATGAAATGTCTATGTTTTTCAGCAAATATCTTACCAACTTACCACAATATATATATATATATATATATATATATATATATATATATATATATATATATATATATTCATTTCACTACAGAGGGAACCTGTAGTGAAATGAATTTTTTTTATTGACTACGTCCAGTTTTCCGACCACCATAGTGGTCGAAATTTCCGACCGCATGTGGTCGGAAAATTTGGACCCGCCCGACTATCCTCTTGGTCATTTTTTCCGACGGTCTTAGAAAAGTGGTCGTTATTTACGAGCACTTCTCCGGTGGTCGGATATAGCGAGGGGGATTTTTCCGGATACCCAATTTGGTCGGAAAAGAGGTCGGAACAAGCGTTTCCGACCTAATTAAGGCCATTTCCGACCACTTTCAGGTGGTCGGAAATCTGCTGATTTCCAACAGTGAGAAATGGGGAACCTCCTTTAGGAATAGAAATCCCTTTAGGATTGTGACCTCCTTTTAGGAATAGAAATCCCTTTAAGATTGTGAAACCCATAACCTTATCCATTATACATCTTTTAACCCTTATAAACTTAAATTTTAACAGAATGAGAGAGAGGGAATTTCACCCAGTAATTCCGCCTTTACACATCACTAATCATCAACGTGAGTACCTTATGGAATTACAACCTTTATTATATAAATCATTGTTAGGAAATAATTTATTTCTAACAGTTTTACCTTCCCCTTGGTCTACAAGGCAAGTATACCACAACGCAAACACTTGAATAAAGAAAAATCAAAGTAAAATTCTTGAACATAATATCTTTAATTAACTTAGGATATCTGGGCAAGCTTTCCAAGCACATGCCAATTATATGGTTATATCATTGTTGACATTGCCATTTGTTCCATGAGTGACGATTAAATTAATAAAGTTTAAGTTGTCTAAGGAAGGAAAATCTGTGTTGTCATTTTTTCCATTAATTTTCAATATGTATAAGTGATGCAGAGGAAGAGGCTCAAGGGCAGTTTTGAAGAAACTGAAAGACAGTACTATGGCAATTATGGAATTTCTGACCACCTGAAAGTGATCTTCAATCAAGTCGAAAGTCTTGTTCCGACCACTTTTGGTATTTGGAAAAACCTTTGTTGCTATTTCCGACCACTTTTTGCTTTCAACTTGATTTAAGATCACTTTCAGGTGGTCGGAAATTTCATAATTTCTAGCAGTATGCAAGCTATTATAGTGTTGTACAGTTGGAGGGTCCAGAGGTAGGCACTCCATTGCTTTTATATTACTTATATTCCATAATACTATATATGCTTTCAGGATAAGCTGATGTCAATCTTCGACAACATGATTGTTCCTTCACTATCACATTGTCAAAATGCTTCCCAGGACATACTCTCAGGAAATTATTTTTTATGATAATCGATAATTGTGTGTACGTACTTTTGCAGCTTCATCATTATGGATCGGAGTATCCTTCTCTTCTACCATTGCCCTCATTACCTATATGTGGCAACCTCGGAAGTTCTGTGGTCTCAATGTTAAGGTCTCTAATGAAGATGAAGAGTTGATAACTTTGCTTCCTTTAGGCGGCTATGGATTTTCATACATGCTTTAGCTCATAAAGAAGGGTTTGAGGCTTTATAGTCTGCCTTTGATATATTGTTTTTATCATGCCTTTTGCACAAGTTAATTTTTTTTTTTTTTTTTTGCCTTGTTTTAGTTGTGACTTGAACATGTAAGTTGGTATGTACTTTTCTGTGTGCATTAAGTAGTGATGTCATTTGGTTAATCAAGATACAATTTAAATGTTGTCTCTCAATTTTCTTCTTGTACGATACGCAGACCATTTTGAAAATTGAAACGTAACATTTACACCACTAATAATTTAAGAGTAACATTGATGATTGTCATATTATGAAGGACATAAATTACAATTTTCTCCAGAAGGGTAACCAGAAGTCACATATCCACTTCTCAAAAACAGTGGATAGCAACCTAGCAGAAAGGCTAACCTCCCTTGCTGGCATCCAAAGAACGGACGACTTGGGGAGGTATCTGGGAGTTCCATCCATTCACAGGAGGGTAACAACCAACCTTTTCACCCCCCTCCTGGAGAAGATCGATTCTAGACTTGAAGGCTGGAAAAGGAAAAACCTCACGCTTGCGGGAAGAGTAATCTTAGCCCAGAGTGTGATGAACGCATCACCGTATTATACCATGCAGTCCATATTCCTCCCGAAAGGTGTATGTGACAACATAGAAAGAAAGATCCGTAACTTTGTCTGGGGGAAGGGTGTGCATTTGGTCAAATGGGACAATGTTGCCCTACCAAGGAACAAAGGTGGCCTTGGATTAAGACATCTCCATGAAATGAATCTAGCGTTCCTTTCAAAAATGGGATGGCGCCTAATCAGTGAAGGTGACAGCCTTTAGGCAAAAACAATAAGAGCCAAGTACCTAAGGCGGAACAACAATGCCATAAACTTCGCTTGGAAGGCTGGGGGTTCTAATCTGTGGAGAGGAATCTACAAGGCAAGTGAGATCCTAATGACGGGCATACGTTGTCACAATGGGATTCCAAACAGAGTCTACTGGAGTCCAGAAAGCAACGGGAGATTCTCAGTGGCTACAGCCTATAATATAGCAACAGAAACTGACGAGAAGAGCACATGCAATACTTGGAAAGCGATCTGGAAGCTACGGGTCCCTAACAAAATCTGCATGTTCTTGTGGCTTGTTAAGCATAAGAGGATTATGACTAATGGAGAAAGGAGACGGAGAGGCTTCACTGCAGATGCTCGATGCCCATGCTGTGATGAATTGGAGGAGGACATCATGCACTGCCTTCGAGACTGCAGAAAAGCGAAGGAACTATGTGAAGTATTCTTACCTGTAAGGGGCCATAACAAATTCTTTAATATGAATTTTGATTCTTGGATGGTAATGAATATTTCAGGGCGCGTAAAGGATCATAAGGTAGGCGACTGGGGTGCCTTTTTTGCCATAGCCATCTGGTGGATCTGGAGGTGGCGCTGTGATTTCACATTCAAAAATGAAAGCTGGGAAATTGTCGACAAAGTCAAATGGCTGCATGATTATAATAAAGAGAGTTCAAGATCTTTTGCTCGGGTTCAGCGGGCTGGGATGAACATGAGTAAATCAAAGAACACAGGAGGAGGACAGGATGGCTGGACGTACATCAATACGGACGCCACCTTCACTAGCTCGGAGGAAATTACAGGTTGCGGAGGAGTCATGCGCGACCACCATGGAAACTGGAAGAGTGGATTCAGCTGCTTGACTCGCACGAATAATGCAACTGAAGGAGAACTAACGACCATTCTTAAAGCCATGCAATGGGCTTGGGAGATGGGCGTAAGAAAAGTTCACCTCCTAAGTGATTCCTTGCATGCTATACAATGGCTCAAGGACGGACCCGAACCACTTGGACCTTGTGGCGAGCTCACCAGCTTATGCAAACACTGGATGTCGAAGGATTGGGAACTGCGGCTAGACCACACCCCTCGCGAGTTCAACCAAGTTGCGGACTGGGTAGCTAAGATTGCTCTGAGAAAACACTGTGGCTGGATTGAGATTCATACTCCCCCGGAGGAAGTGAGCAGCTTACTGAGAGATGAGTGTGTGAGGTTTGTTGCGAAAGGCAACTGATTCCTAGGGTTACCCCCTCCCCTTATTCCCAAAAAAAAAAAAATTACAATTTTCTCTAACAAGAATAATAATATTAATAACAACAACTGTGCTAGCTAGCGGATAGCATATTGTATTAACAGTTTTGACTAGTGTATTATATCAATAATTTATAACAAAATTATTTTTTTTTTTTAAGGTAAATGGTTAACATGCACAATAACCTATAAAGACATTAATATAGGTCATAAGTAATAATAATAATAATAATAATAATAATAATAATAATAATAATAATAATAATATTATTATTATTATTATTATTATTATTATTATTATTATTATTATTATTATTATTATTATTATAACAACATTAAAAAAAATAATAAGGGGAGCCATGCGCCTCCGGTTTAGTTTTATCACTTCTTTTTTACATCGGTAGAAAAAATGACATTGGAGCTTGAGGCTCCCTATATAAGGAGACATATGTCAAGACATCTTAAATTCCAAACAAAAATAATTAAATTAATTCTCAGTACATATGATACATTATTTTCCCTCCCAAAAGGGACAATTTATATCGTGCACCACAGCGCGCATAGCAATGTGCGCCCAGGCACAAAACGCGCGCATTTTAATTGCTGACGTCACTCCGTCTTTCCAAACGGCCCAAACCTCATTATGTGTATTCAGTTAAAAGTTCCTGTGTATTGTGTTATGAGTTTCTGTGTATTCAGTTAAGAGTTTATATGTATTCAGTTAAGAGTTTATGTGTATTCAATTAGGAGTTTCTGTGTATTTAGTTACGAGTTTCTGTGTATTCAGTTAAGATCGAGTTTCTGTGTATTCAGTGAAGAGTTTCTGTGTATTATGTATCATATTAGATTATGTGTATTTAGTTATGAGTTTCTGTATACTCTGTTATGAGTTTATGTGTATTTGAAACAAATATTTTCTTTTTAATAATACACCAAAACAACGTCATTTTGGGTAGGGCGGGACGCACAGTGCATTGTGCGCCTTGGTGCACGATATAACGACTGCCCAAAAGAGGGTGAGAGAGAAGTAGTGACTGAATGAGGACATGCATCATTATTGACTCATTTCTAATTTCCCTTTCCTTTTCTCACTCACACTCCACAATTTGCAGTTTTGCACCACATATCACGTCACACCAAAAATATACCACCCCAAGCTTATTAGGCCTACCTTCTCCAAATTTAAAAAAAAAAAAAAAAAAAAAAAAAAAAAAAAAAAAAAAAACTAAAAAACTAAAAAACTAAAAAACTAAAAAACAAAACAAAAAAAAAAAACCAAAAGCCATTTTGGTGCAAACTTTGCTCCATAGAATGATGGCGTCATTTTCTATAATCAAAATACATTATAAATTACATATTTCATTATTAATATATAAAAAAATTATATATATATATATATATAGCTGTTGAAGCCAAAACTAAGTCATGTCGAGCAATTGGGATTTTAACCCCCTAACCATTCCAAGCCTAAGCACAACATTGCCAACTAGTCTACATAACCCATTGTTTACACTTACTCATTTTCATATACATATATCTAAAACGTGTACTACATACACACACACACACACACACACACACACACATATATATATAGTTATATACAAGGGCTATATAGGGGTGGGAGTGGAGTGAGTGGGGCCAGCTGCCCCCACTGTAGATCCACCCATGGGTGGTATCATTAATGCATCAAGCCATCAACTATATACTATATACTATATATTATAATTAAAATAAATAAATAAAACAACAACAACAACAACAATGCATGCATTGTACCTTATGCCTTTTGGGTGTAAAAGTAGCTTTATTTTTAATGATTGATGGATAACTAAAGAGATCTTAATCAATATGATTGCTCTTGACTCTGGAAAACTATATACATTCAATTATTGTTAGAATAAAGTATCTTTCAGTTGCACTTTACATATTTATGTGTGATTAAAATTCTATTAAAATTAACTCTTCTATACCAATAGACCAATGTGTAATAAGGAAGGTAGAGAAAGTGGTGGAGATGCAAGAAACAATGAGTCAATGACCTATGTAAAAGTGTAAAAATTCTTTGCATCGTTTTCTTTATTAGTATGTATATTATATTATAGTATAGTATATTACAAACATTCACTTTAAGTATATTTTCGTCATTTTCAACTTAAGATTTCAATTTGATCATGGATAAAAGGATTTAAGTTCTAAGATCGATCCCAAATAACAATTTTCTTCCTCATCCTACATAACTTGAGGAGAACAACTGCGAGATCGATCTTAGGGCTTAAATTTTTATGCTCAAATTGAGATCTTAATTTGAAAATGACGAAAATACATTTAATAATTTCATATTTCAGCATGTCTTAAACAAAGTGCTGACCAATGCGATGAATTTTAACACAAATAATAATTGTGAACGAAAATTGGTACTAAAACAATAACTGTGGATGAAATTGGTATGAATTAAACATGTGAACCAAAATTGTTATTTTGCTAATGCTCGTAGGACCAAAATTGGTATTGTCGTGTGACTAACAATGACATATTCCAAGTTGTAGAATTTTTATTTTTTTTACATCGTTGATTATTTTCTTTAATACTTCATTCATTCTATTTTATGTGTCTGATTCGGTTAATGAATCTTGACTAAAGTTATTTCTAATTCAATTTTTTCAATTATTAAGTTTAATATTAATATATAAAATTAATATATATAGAAAATACGTTAAAAGTGTTATTAAACACACAATTAGATTTTAAAAAAATTAATAATATTAAAGAAAAGATTTAATCCATGAATAATTATAAATAAGAAAGGTAAATGGAATATATATTTTATATTGTGTGCGTTGCTTTCAAAAATATATATATTTTGTGCGTTGCAGTTGATGATAAAAATGGATAGACAACAAATAACATTCGTGATCCTCTTGAAAGGACCATGGTTGATTAAAATTTAATACTTAAAGGATCATGAGTGGTCAATTTGGACCACGAATGGTTAATTTGAAAGTTGAAGAATCACAGATGATCAATTTAAAAATTTAGGACTAAATGTGATAAAATCACTATACTCAAAGAACCTCATATGGTATTAACTTTCTTGCCAATTTATTCTAATTGAAGAAACTTTCTTTCCTAAAGATGTTTATTTTCTTTTTAGCTAATTCCTAATTATTCCTAATTTCTTATCCAAATATGTACCTACATTTACATTTTTTTTTTTGGAAGTCCCTACATTTACATTTTTATGTTCTGCAATTGCAATAGTGAACTATTGATGGCCTACCATTACATACGTAATTAAGGAAATGACATAGTAATAATTATAATTTAACTCACTACATACAGTGTATGTAAAAGATATAAAGTTAATTAGCATAGTAGCACCATTGCATCCTTAATATAATAGGACCACTGCATTATTAATATGATATTTTTAGTTACACCAATGGAAATGGAATATAAGTTTCTATGGTTACCATTAAAATTTTCATATCACATGATATGTCATCTAATTAAAGAAATTTGAATTGACACATTACAAGATGAGGTTATGTACATAATGTACCTAACTTTAACTTTTGAAATTATATCTTTGGAAATTGATACAAAGCAGTTAATATCCTGATAAAGGCTAACAAATAGAAAAAAAATTAGTACAAATTTACCTAACTTTAACTTTTGAATTATATCCTTGAAAATTTATACAAAGCAGTTAATATCCTGATAAGGACTAACAAATAGAAAAAAATTAGTACAAATTTCTAAATTTTTTATCTAATTTTATCAAGTGATCTAATTCTAATATAATCTAATCTAAATCTAAATCCAAATAAAGTAATAACAGAATAAAAGAATACTTAATACACTACAATTTGAAGTCTATCATCAGCTTTAGCCACCTTATTGGAAGAATAACTGGTACAACATAATGATTTGGATTCATTAATGTTTGATCCTTTTTAGACCTCCCATTGCAGCCTCCTTCTACAAATATTACGGTTGGACTCAACCCATCTCACATTCCTCTTCTTCGTACAGAAGCACAACAAAGAGTCCTATTAGGAGTATAAACAATGTTTCAAGTTTATCATACCCTAACAGTCAAGAAAACTCAAGCAAGAAACCAATCGTTGTGAGCACCATAAGTGATCTTTATGGAAGGGCTTAGGTAGTACTAATTCAAATCTCTTAATTGTATCCAAATAACAGTTTTAGCTGCAGTTTTTTTTTTTTGGGGGGGATTCAAATTACTTTTCTAATTTACTAAAATAAAACAGGAAGGGTATTACCATGTTCCTGCAAAAATTTCTGGCTTGGTGAGTGTAAGACAATGGTACTACTACTCTTGCAAGACAAAAGGCTGTTTTAGGAAACTTGAACAGAAAAAGGCCATATTGTGGTGTGACACATGCAAAGTGAGTTGGCAGCGAGGAATTCCAAGGTACAGGGTGGTTGTGAGAGTTTCTGACAAGACTGGTGATGCACATTTTCTGCTGAGGGATCATGAATGTGCTGATCTATTAGGATTGACAGCTTATGATCTCAGGAACAAGCACTTGGAGGTATAAATTTATTTCATCTACCTATATATATTCTATTCTAGGCTTTTATAGTTTTTGCCTAAAAAATTTAGAATAATTTAACTAAGATTTTATTTTGTAGGATCCTACTGAGATTCCACCAGAATTTGAATCTCTACGTAACAAAGCGATGATTTCAAAGTCTCATTGAAGGATGAGCACATTAAAAACCATGCCAAGGCTATTCCTGTTTTGAACATAAGTAATGATGATGAATTGGTTGCAGCACACTGTACCCTGACAGATGACAAGGATGAGCTCTCCAAATTGATTGCTGAAGAAGAGGATGAGGATGAATATAATGTACCTAACTTAACTGTTATACACTCTGTTTTCTGTTTGGTTTTATTATTTGTAAAAAGCCTAATATATTTTTTAATTTAGGATAATGAATCTGGAGATAGTTCTGATGGGGATAGTTCTGATGGAGGTTCTGATGGGGATAGTTCTGATGGAGATAGTTCTGCTGTGCAGCAAATTCTAAAACCTAGGTTGGCAGATAGTGGTGAACAGATTGAACCTCACTCAACCAAAAGAAATCTCCTGGACCAATTCACATCTACCCAGGATGTCAAAAGATCTAAAGCTATTGTTATCAAGGAAGAGAAAATTTGAAGAAACTGTGTGGTTTTAATATGGTTGACTAAGGGCTATTGTTTATGTCCACTGTTTTGAATATTGTTAATTTGAATTTCTATGAAGCTGGACTATGGATATTATCTACTTAATTCAACTCTAAGTCCATGACTTAGAGTACAATTTATATCTTGGTTGTTTTAATTAACTATCTTATCATATGTTTTTATTATTATATATTCTTCTATGTTTGTTATCTTTTGTCTAATGCAGGTTTTATAAATGCTGATGAGACATGGCACATTGAAGAATGAAGATCATGCCTATTCTTTAAATACAATTGTATCTACAAATGTAATGCAAATTACAAGATAGAGAAGCATATTAGATTATAAATTTGTAATCAAAATTTCTTTTTAGTCCAACAAAGAGGAATTTACTTATGAATATGTTTTCAGAATAGCATATTAAGGCTACTTACTAAATATCATGCTTATCAACAAAAACAAGAAGGGAAAAAAATAATTGTGCTCATTTCTAAACAAATAAAATTGATCAAATAGTTTTTCAATTATGGATGAAAAAATTTACCTTTGAAAGCTAGGTCTTCATCCAGATTATATGCCTTCAGACACCCTCTTCAAATGTCTCTGGCTTCTCAACCAGATAGGAAAAAATCTTAGAGATGAGGTCAGTTAGACACTTATCTGACAGATGAGAGAACCAGTTTTAGAGTTTACAAAAAAGCATTTAGGCAGAATTCGGAAACCAGAATATGTATAAGACTACAATAATGGTAATCCATTCTTAAGCAAGTGCCTCGACTAAATCAACAAAACTTCACCTACGCATGCATTTGTATAATTCACATTTGAGAAAGGGAAATACAAAGAACTTAGACAAAAACCCTAGCACTACAACACAGATGACCTTTAACATAGGTTATTTAGGCCCTTTAACGTCAGCTAAAAAGCGACATTGATGAAGGCGACGTTGTATTGTAAACACACGACGTCGGTTATATGAAAACCGACGTAAATTTTTTTATTTATTTAATAAAACCAACGATGTCGGTTATTAATTAATAACCGACGTTTTAGATTAATTTTTTTAAAAAAAATATTCTGAATACATACGACGTCGGTTATGTTTTAAAAATTGACGTCGTATGTATTTAGTCTGTTTAAAAAATAACATAACACGTCAGTTTTTTCTAAAACACCGACATGTTATGTAATTAAAAAAAAAAAAAAAAAAAATATATATATATATATATATATATATATATATATATATATATATAGAGCAATGAAAATCAGATGAAAACAATCCTCATCCAGCTATCTTCAGAACAACACATCAAAAATCAAATATCAATTTTAAGAGCTGTTAAACAACATAGCAAATGGAATTTCCGCATGAGGGTACCTAAGAGGAAAAGGCACAAAATGAAGGCATTGAACAGTGGAGTTCATGTAACATATATTCCCTAGATTAAATAAGCCAGCAGATTGACACTGGGAATGAAACATTAAGACCAAAAAAAAAAAAAAACCTGCAAGTGCACAAACATGTTTCATAGCAGGGAAAGGATGAGCTCCTTATCTCCATTAACAACATCTTCTGCCATAACAGTAGTTCCATCTTCATCAAGTAATAGTACACCAGCCTGCTTCACAGTTAATCCAACACTTTTTGCAGGTCTGATGGAACCGACATTTTCTGATCAGAAATCAAGAATGAGCAATGCAATACCAACAAAAGTTTCAATTGCCAAACCCATAATGATTGTTGGTCATATCAATGACAACAAAACTGAAAATTTAAAAGCTAGAACAAAAAACAAAGGGAACAGAACGTACAAAATTCAGCTGACCATTAAGATAGATGGTCCCCAAAAATTCAGCTGACCATTAAGGGAACAGAATGTACAATTCCCTACCAGATCACTATATAACAAATAATGCTTAATATATTGAAGAACATGAATACTAAATGATTTGGCTAGTGAGTAAAATTAGGAGATATAAGACTTAAAATCTCTAGGAATTTCATCCGCAAAGTCAAGCATTTGTTCACTTACCTTTCTTCACATTATATCCGGATGACTTCAAAAAAAGTAACATTTTTCCTCAATTTCATCATACCTGAAACAATAGAACTCCATAAAGGGAATGGAAAAAATTCAATGTCAAAATTAACACTGAAAGACACTACAAAGAACCACCTTTCTTTTGACCAATTGACAGTGGGTTCATCCTTTTTATTGACAACAATGAGGAGCTTTGTAACTCCAAGAGTCTTTGCAAGTTGAACATGCTCACATGTTTGTCCACCTCTTTCATATACAATTTCAAACTCACCTTTCCTTGCAGATATCACCTGGATTGCAAGGCAAAATAAAAGACAGGTAAAACTACTTTCACAAAATGGACATGATGAAACATTCAATATGAATATGGAGTTTCTTTAATCATTATGTACATACAATGAAACTATCTTACCAGTACACCAATATCAGCTTGAGATGGAATAAAGAAGACTTTCGCTTAAATTATTTTCTAAAGATTCCTAAACATGCAAACAAAAATACTACTACTTAGAGAACTAAACAATAAATACAAAGAAAAAAAAAAAAAAAAAAAAAAAAAAAAAAAAAAAAAAAAAAAACAAAGAGTATACCAAACACTATGGTATTGAGTCATGGATGCTGTTACTGCTCATATCCCTACACTCAGGCAATTACACAAATTTGCAAGATGGCAGCAATCTGGACTGATAAAGATCGTAAATCTATCATCCAGTGATCAACTCAAGAAGGCAAATGGTCTTACAATGCAACGTAAGTAGGTAACAAAGTTTGAGCATGCATATAAACTACAGTTCCAAGTCAGATTTCACCCTCAAATTGCCCAAATATTCATCCATATGACCATTAAAAGAGCTTGAATAAGATAGGGTACCTCTGTTCTTGAGTTTTGTCTTCCTCAAATTTACACTCAACCTTTTCCAGTATAATTTAAACACTAACAGTACAAATCATGCTCAGCTTCAAACTTTTTTCTTTTTTTTTTTGCTCCGTCTCAATCTTCAGTGCCTTATAGTACACACATACACTACATTTCATTCAATTTGTTACTCGCAATTTTCATAGGGCCATAGGGGTAACTCAAGAGTCTTGCAGCATTAAAAAGACGTTTTCATGCGTTATCCAAGTACCAAAACTTCATCCACTGAATCGAAGAAATAGTTTTGCAATAATCATTTCACAATAGCAGATTTAACAACACCTAAACACATTAATCTTATCCTGAAACACCACACACACACCCTTTCACTTATCTGCAGCGAGAAAAATGATTAAAGTTTATATAAAGAACAGTAGATAATCACGTCTCCTGAAACATAAAAACTCTAATTAATTAACAGCAAAAGGCAGCATCTAGTGAAATGAGAAAGGAATTAACATACAAAATCATTGAGCCCTAAAAAGCAGTTTAATCATAAAAAACCAGAGCATAAATATATTTCACTAACAGCAGCTAATTTCACAATGATTTTGAAAACTAAAGAGTTAGGTTTGTGTCTGTTTATGAATAGGTGTCAGTTATGGGTAGTTATGGGTAGTTACTTACAGTTATGTATTTGTGTATATATATGTACTGTGTTTCTGTATTAGAAACAGAGAGAATACCAATATAATTTCAGTTTTATATTCATTTCCTAGTCTTGATTCTTCATATTGCTTCCGCCTAACTGGCGGGTGGTATTATTCTCCACCCGCCAGGCCATTCCATCTTCCAAATTCAACATGGTATCAGAGCCACTTTCCTAGGGCATTTTCCTTACATTTTCCGGCATAAACAGTAGCCCTGAGACTGCCTCTTGAATTCCGACGTATCTATGGTGGTTTGCTTCAAAATTTACAACCACAGTCACTCTCGGAATCGTGCTGGCGCGTGAGCCCACCTCCGGCGTGATTTTCCGACGAAATTCTCCAGAAACCTCTGTCCGTAACCCGCAACCCCATCTGCGTAGATTTGGCTATGGTGTATTTTTCCTTGTGATGTATTCTCCGGTGAAAATTCCAGATTGTTGTTTTGCCCTTGGACCTTTTGGTGAAAGTTTGAAGGCTTTTTGGGTTTGTTGCCAAACCTCTTTCCGGGGTGTTTTTTGGTATAACCGTATTTGTTTCTTTATATTCGGTATACCATACTTAGTCCCTAGGGTTTTCATGTTTGGCACGTTGTTTATTTCCGGAAGCTTCTTTTGTTATTCACTTATCCTATAAGAGGTATAAACAACAATCATGTGGTTTTCTCGGTATTCATACAACAATCTATGGGCTCTACTACATCCCCTTCGCTGCTCATGATTTGGTTGCTCTGCCATTCTTGATGGAGATTGTTGATTGGCAAATCCTAGAATGCTTATGTTGCTGTGAGGGTGTTCGTGTTAATCTTCGCCCTTGGTGACTTCATTCCCAAGGTTGTTTGTGACAAGCTTCGCCCTGGTGCCTTCATTCCCAAGGGTTGTTTATAGCATTGTTCCTCCGAAGCCATCCAACACTATTATTCTCTAGCTGCTTTTAATCTTCATTTGTAATGTAGAGTGTATGTTTTAATCCAAGCTTGGAACTTCTAGATGTTCCAGCTTGAGGGGGAGTGTTGAAAACTAAAGAGTTAGGTTTATCTATAGGGTTGTGTCTGTTTATGAATAGGTGTCAGTTATGGGTAGTTACTTACAGTTATGTATTTGTGTATATATATGTACTGTGTTTCTGTATTAGAAACAGAGAGAATACCAATATAATTTCAGTTTTATATTCATTTCCTAGTCTTGATTCTTCATATTGCTTCCGCCTAACTGGCGGGTGGAGAATCCATTCCATCTTCCAAATTCAACAAACCTTATCCTGAAACACCACACACACACCCTTTCACTTATCTGCAGCGAGAAAAATGATTAAAGTTTATATAAAGAACAGTAGATAATCACGTCTCCTGAAACATAAAAACTCTAATTAATTAACAGCAAAAGGCAGCATCTAGTGAAATGAGAAAGGAATTAGCATACAAAATCATTGAGCCCTAAAAAGCAGTTTAATCATAAAAAACCAGAGCATAAATATATTTCACTAACAGCAGCTAATTTCACAAATTAGATACATTTCTCCAAAGCTAAACCTTTAGAAATGAAAATTAAACAGAAACAAGAAAAATAACAATAAGTATTAGAATCACTATAATGACAATGAACCAGCCAGAAACAACCACTAAAATGCTCTACACTAATCATATTCACAACATAATCAAGCAACCAAAGGTCAGTAAAACACACTTAGAAGCCAGACATGGAAAAAGGAAAAGAAAATAATTCCTAAAATTCGAAATACATTAATAAATAATTCCAAATATATAATATATAATAATTCCAGAAATTGAAATAATAATTATAAAAAATAAATAAATAAAAATAAATAAATAAATAAATAAATAATTACAATGTAGCTCGGCGGTGCGGCGGAGGCTGTGGCTGTGCGATTGGGAAGACGAAACCACCGGGGCGGAAAATCCAGGTAAGAAGAGGGCGGCAAATCGGCATAATTAAAGAAGGGAGAGGAAGTGGAAGAGGAAGCAGCGGTGGGGGATTGGCGGTGGCGTAGAAAGCGAGGCGGCTCTGGCGAGGACGAGATCATTCTGGAGCTCGGCCATGCGGCGCTGGAGGGAGACGATGGCGCCAATGCAGCCGTAGACAGGGTCCCTGAGGCGGACCTCGGCCTCGTAGACGAGGGAGTTGACGGTGTCCTCGCGCTGCTCCTCCGGGACCTCGTTGAAGATCTTGCTCACACTGCTGGCGCCGAACAACTTGTGAACTTTGGCGAATTTCTTGGGGACGCACCGTCGCTTCAAGAACTTGCAGTGTGCGAAAGGGTAACTTCGGGAACCATAAATTTGGAGGTTGAGAACTACAGCTAATAATTTACGACAGTTCATCAAAAAAATAGAAATAAAGAATAAAATTTAAATTAAAACTTATAATTTCAATTGGAAAGCTATAGATCATATTAGAAATCTATTTATGTATTTGAGTCTACTTATGATTCTTAATCTAGTCTCCCTTAAGTCTCTTCTTGTATATAATATATATACATAGGTCTTATACTCTTGTAATTTGAGTTTTTTGCACTTTTGGTCCCACGACTATAGTGACACTAGCAGAATTGATCCACGACTTTTGAACCTTGCAATTTTACTCTACGACTATTAATTTTTTTGCAAAAATGGTCCTTCCGGTTACTTTTCCGTTAAAATTTCACCGGAAAAAAAAATGCTCCATTTTTAGCCGGGTTAAAATTGACATTTTACTTTTCCGATGTCTTCGGATGATAAGGCAGACGTGCTGGCTCCGCCTCCAATGCTGCTGCCGGATAACCCAACTAGCCCGGGGAACGCCACGGCCGCTCCGCCGCTTACTGACAGCCCTGCTTGCTCCAGGAACTCCGCCGCCTGGGGCAGTAGTATGTAGCCCAGTAATATTGTATGTATTCAAATATCAATTTTTTTCTTTTAATTTTTTGAGATAAGTAAAATGTCAATTTTAACCCGGCTAAACATGGTGAATTTTTTTCCGGTGAAATTTTGACGGAAAAGTGGGCGGAAAGACCATTTTTGCAAAAAAAAATCAATAGTCGTGGGCTAAAATTGCAAGGTTCAAAAGTCGTGGATCAATTTTGCCAGTGCCACTATAGTCGTGGGACCAAAAGTGCAAAAAACTCCTTGTAATTCATTAGTGTTAATACCATTCATTATAATTCTCATATGGTATCAGCTAGCTAGGGTTTCTATCCCATTGCCGATGGATCTGTCAATTCCTCTTAACGGACCATTTTTTATGCCCCTCTCTCATCGGTTACTTCAACCGTAACCACCCTCTCCACGGCTCATCACTTCATCAGCGTCAAATTGACTCATCGGAACTTTTTATTTTGGAGGGCTCAAGTTGTTTCTTTTCTCAACGGACATGATCTAATGGGTTTCATCGACGGAACCAATCCATGCCCGTGATTGGGGATTGCGGGGATTTGTTCCCCGTGATCCCTTCTTCTTGGTATTTGATGTTTTGACCTCCTGTTGTTGAATTATTGAGCTTTTGTGAGTCTTCTTGATGTTTCGTATGTCTAGAACGATGAGTTAGGAATCCATGTTAGGATTTGGTGTCTTGAATCGTGCATATGATCCAATCTTGTGAATCGTTGGATTGATGTTGAGTCTTTGTGGTTCATTGGAACTATTTTGGTTTACCCGTTTGATATGCATGCTAGTCTTGGTGTCATTGATGCTAGTATGTGTTGTTTGTCTCTTTCTATTGAGGATTGGCAAAACAGTTGTTTGTCTCTTTCTATTGAGGATTGGCAACTCGTGTTGCCAATCATGTTGATATTGGATTGAGGTCATCGTTGTTGTTGAATATCGTTTCATGTCCTTCATTGAAACCCCTTGATTGAATCCCTTGATGTGATCTCGTGTGTATGATTATTCCTTGATCAAGCTATTGTTGAGCTTATCCTTTGTTGTACACACTTTGTGTGGAATCTAGGTGTTGTTGTATCTCTACATTCCGTGTGTATTGACTCTTGATGAGATGATGGATTGGTATGATGAGATGATTGAGCTGGTAAAGTAGACAGTGTGGGGACTTATGTGTGAACGGACCGGTAGTGAAGCTCCGGATGGTCGTTTGGATACTTTACTTGTGGGCAACATTGGAAACTTATCCCCGTTGCCAGAGATGGTAGCTAACCTATAACACCCCGAAATTTTTGAACTTTTTAAACTTATATAATAAAGGTAAATCCTCATTAAATCTCAAAATCAGACATAAGAGTATGGGGTGCTATGCCACACCTGAGTTAGAGAACCCAGGTGCACAGGCTAACTAACTAGAATCCTCAATGTAATGTCAATACATAAGCATGACACGCAGGCCAAAAGGGAAACTAACTAATCTACGCTTCGGATCTCTAGCGCGCTCCGGAGTCTACTCATCTGTGCCTCAAAGCCAAATATATCTGTTCAGCGAGAGATGCTGGTAACCCACTCCAACGCGTTGAAATACAATATAGGTGTATATATAAATATAGATATAGGAAAATCATTTTGAAGCAGGAAGATATATACTTAGGAGACTATAGCTTTAAAACCAGGAATAGACTCAGCAAATAGGGACAAGCACATTAATTAATGATAAACAGTTAAGTAGAGTTAACACCATAAGGAATACGCATCTAAGGTCACAGATCACTTTTCAATTCAATCACATTATCATCCAGACATCATTCATATCACATAAACATTGGTGGCGCCACGGGACCAATCGCATGCCTCGAACATGAGGGTTAATGCATATAGCATTAACACGGGCCCGTAGCACCCTACCTCATGCCGCAGCATGAAGGGAGTTGATCGCAACCAACCCTAAAGACCGCTGACGAACTCAGCGTCGGACCACAATCCTACACACCGCTGACGCGCTCAGTCGGTGGACTGTGATCCCCTTTACAAGGGGGGACATACGACCTTACACACCGTTGACGGGCACAGTCGGTGGATCGTAGCGGATCAAGCCCTACACACCGCTGAGAGACTCAGTCAGTGAGCGAAGATCCTCGGAGACTATGACCCTACACACCGCTAGCCCATCACTCGGTGGATCGCAGCCAGCCATAGCCCTATACACCGCCTGATTACTTAGGTCGGTGGACTACAGCCTTCCTCAGGCTTATTGGCCCTACACACCGCCCGGCGCGTCCAGGCCAGGTCGGTGGGTCATAGCACCCGAGGCCCATGTGGACCGCAGCCCAATAAGTGAATCACTGACCGCAGCCAGGAGGATGAACCGCAGCTCATAGACAATCAATTCGGCCTTCAGCCAACTTCTGAACCGCAGCTCAGGAACAATCAATTCGGCCTTCAGCCAACTTCCGAACCGCAGCCCGGGAACACCCAACTTGATCGCAACAAAATTGGGGAATCATGTATCACATAACACATAGTAGCACGTAGTAGCACATTGGGAAGGGGGAGACATATAAATAAACTTACGTGTGATCATTCACATACTAAGAATAGTCCTAAGGGGTTCATACCTCTTCCACCTAGGTCAACGGGTTACCAATTCAACTAGCATGCAATTACAAAGACTCGTTTATCCTACGAATGGTACCCGAAATATCAAACTAGACTCAAGCACGACAAACGGGGTCCGTTGGGACACCACGGGGAGTAGGGAACATCAAACGGGGAAGCCGAAGACCCGGGGTGGGTACGGACCAGCGGGAAGCCGGTGGGTGGGGGTCACCCGCCGACTGCCCGCCGGAGATCATCGTCCGGGCAGCGGGTTGCCGGCGGGCAGGCGTCTGCCCGCTGCCTGGCGGTGATCTTTGGGAAGCGGGTAGGTGGCGGATTCCCCTACCCCCACCTACCCCCCACTGACTCTGTTATCACAAATTCGTCCCGGAATCCCTTGTGGAACCCGAAACCATGCTTAGACACTTTTAAATGCAATTAACGACACCACGTAGACAATTAATGGATCAAAAGCAAGAATCACGTAGAACTCGTCCTATTACGACTTCTAAACATAAACAACACCCGAACATGCGAATTCCCGCCCAAATATATATCAAGAACATTACAACACAAATTCCTAATCCAACTTAGGGCTCTAATCCCACCCAAATCATCAAAATCATATTTTATCTTTAACATCAAGAAATATCAAGATTTGTCAAGAATCATCAAATCAATATCAAGAACCTCTTTTCAACATCAAGATCATCAAGAACACACATAAATCGTCTCATCAATCATCAAGATTATTTCACAAATAACATAGAGGAATTCATCAAGACGCAAGCATATAGAAGGAGCCAAAGAAGAAGATTATAGCGAAGAAAATAGGTTTTGTTGAGACATGGGTTACCTCTTAGCCTTAATTAATTTCCTTGGCTATGAAGGGTCTTTCTTTAAGATTTCTTCTTTCTTGATTTCTCCTATGGGGATTCTTGGGAATTCTTGTGTGGTGAAAGTTATTGTGGCGTGAGTTCTATGTGCCTCCTATGATCCTATATATATATATATATATATATATATATATATATATATATATATATATATATATATATATATATATATATATATATATATATATATATCTAAGAGTCCTAATTGGGGTCTAATTGGTGTGGGTTTGCTATTTCTATTTCCTATAGGACTAGGGGGTTGGTTTTAGGGATAGGGGTTCATGGCTTATGATGGAACTTTCCTAATTAGTTAATGAAATTTAATCCTTTCTTTTTGGGTAAATGATTAAATAGTTAATTGGTTTAGGGACCGTAACACAGGGTGTTACACTCTCACCCCCTTAACGGGAAGCTTCGTCCCCGAAGCATTGGTTTTGTTGTGTTGACTTCTTTCCCCATCCTACGCTTTCGCCTTGGTTACCTTGTGTGAAGAGTTCGGGGTAGCGTTTCTTCATTGTGTTTTTGAGTTCCCATGTGGCCTCTTCGGCCCCGTGGTTGGTCCAGAGGACTTTTACCATTTC